AAAAAGAAAGATGACTGAAATAAATAAAATCAGAAATGGAAAAAGAAACATTAAAATTGAGAAATACAAAGGTTCATAAGAGACTACTATGAATAATCATATGCCAACAAATTGGACAATCTCAAAGAAATGGTTAAATTCTTAGAAACATAAAACCTGCCAAGACCAATTCACAAAAAAATTAGAAATCTGAACAGACCAACAATAAGTAAGAAAATTTAGTCAATAATTTAAAATAGACCATCAAAGAAAATCCCAGGACCAGATGATATCATGGCTCAGCTGGCTTGAAGTCCCACCTGCTGGCAGAAGCCCAGGAAAAAATGCAGTATAGGGGAGGGTGGAAAGGAGCAATGCCTGCTCCAGACTGCCTGACTGAGGGACTGAGTGTCTAAGACAGCCCCACCTCCAATGCAGACTTTCTGGTTGAGTGGGGCTACTTCCACCTCTCTGGGACAGCTTTGTCCATAGGCAGTGAACAGACATTTGACCCCTGATAAAAGCATTGTGGAGCTTGAGGGCAGGCTCACCCAACCCAATCCCATCTAGTCTCGCACCCCCTCCCTCATCTGTCCCTGCTGAGGTGGAGATTAAGGACACACTTGTAAGTCCCAGAGCCCCACCCACCACCTGGGGCATTACAGTGCTTCTCCTGAGGAACTACAGATGGTCACAGGACCCAAAAACAACACTGCAGCTTATTCCTTCTGGCAAGCACCATCTACTGACAGATTCACAAGCACCATCTACTGACAGGGAGGTCAATTGGCACACTCTTTTACTACATCTACTCACTCATCACACAGTTCAATCAATTCTTACCCACAAGCACCACCTCCTGCCTCAGAGATTAAAATGGGCATGTGATTATTAAACAAAAGAAAATTCAAAAGTAAGAAGCAACAGCTGCTCCAGATGAGATGGAATAAGTGAAAGAACTCTGGAAGTAAGAATAATCAAAGCAAAAGAACACCCCCAAAAGGGAGCACAGCTCTCTAGCAATGGATAATAAGCAAAATCAGAATATTGAAATGACAGATGAAGAATTTTGAACATGGATTGGAAGGAAGATCAATGAAATGCAAAATAAAATGGAAACCCAACACAAAGAAACCACTAAAACAATGCAGAAAATGAATGAAAAATTCACTAAAGAAATTGAAATATTAAAGAAAAATCAAACATAACTTTTGGAAATGAAACATTCATTCAAGGAATTACAAAACACAGTGGAAAGCCTTAAGAATAGGTTAGGTCAGGCAGAAGAAAGAATCTCAGAGCTTAAAGACAACACATTTCAATTTAACAAGGCAGTCACAAAGCTATAGCAGAGAAATAAGAGGAACAAGCAAAGCCTACAAGAAATATGGAATTATGTAAAGAAGCCTAACGAAAGAATCATATACATCCCTGAGAGTGAAAAAATACATAAGGGTTGTATAATTTATTTCAGGGAATAATTGAGGAAAATTTTCCTGGCCTTGCTAGAAATCTAGATATCCATCGCAAAGAGGAAAACACCATGACACATAGTCATCAGACTGGCCAAAATAAACACGAAAGAGGCACTCCTAAGAGCCCTAAGGTGAAAGCAGCAGGTAATTTACAAAGGAAAACCCATCAGACTAACTCCAGACTTCTCAACTGAGACCTTACAAGCTAGAAGGGAATGGGGCCCCATTTTCAGCTTTCTCAAACAGAATAATGCCCAGCCTATAATTTTGTATCCTCCAAAACTAAGTTTTATATATGAGGAGGAAATAAAGTCTTTCTCAGACAAGCAAACACTGAAGGAATTTGTCAAAACAAGACCAGCCCTGCAGGAAGTACTCAGATCTGCATTATACAGGGATCAGCACAATAGACACTCACCACTGTGAAGTCACCCAAAATCTAAAGGTCAAAGGCCAGATATCACAATGGCTCAATAGATAAAACAAAGCAACAAAGTACTATTCAACAGGATGAACAGATATCCACCCACATTAGCAATTTTTTCAATAAATATGAATGGCCTGAACTGCCCACTGAAGAGACATAGGCTGGCCAAATGTATAAATATATGTAAGTCTGGTATCTGCTGTCTTCAGGAAAAACACCTAACCCACAAGTACTCATTCAGACTCAAAGTGAAGGAATGAAAAATAATATTCCATGCAAATGGAAACCAAAAGAAAGCTGGTATAGAGGTTCTCATATCAGATAACTTAGTCTTCAAATCAACAAAAGTAATAAAGGACAAAAATGTCATTATATAATGGTAAAGGGAATAATTCAACAAGAAAACATACCAATTCTAAATATTTATGCACCCAACAGGTGCACCAAGATTGATAAAGCAAATCCTATTTGATCTAAACAAAATAATCAGCAGCACCATAATAGCCATGACTTCAACACCTCTATGACAGAACAGTACAGATCCTCCAAACTGAAAATAAACAAAGAAACAATGTCTGCACTGTCTTCAGGATGGGCACACTTGTAGCTGTGACTCTGGCAGTGCAAAGGCAATTTATACAACCAAAGCATTTGTACCTCCATAATATTCTGAAATAAAATAATAAAAATAAATACCAAAAAAAAGCTATACAAATGGCCAAGAGATATATGGAAAAAATACTCAGCATGTCTAATCAAAAGAGAAATGCAAATTAAAACCACAATGAGATATCACCTCACAACTACTAGTTTAGCTATTCTTTTTCAAAAAGATGAAAGACAAGTATTGGTGAGGATGTGGAGAAAAGGGGAAATCTTACACACTGTTGGTGGTATTGTAAATAAGTTCAGCCATTTTGGAAAGCAGTATGGAGGTTCTTCAAAAACTTAAAAATAGAATTGCCATATGACCCAGCGATCCTACTACTATGTATATACCCAAAGGAATTGAAACGAGTATACTGAAGAGATATCTGCACTCCCATGCTTATAGCAGCACTCTTCACAATAGCCACTATATGTAAACAACCTAAGCACTATCAAGGGATGAATTTATTTTTAAAATGTGGTATATATACACAATGGAATACTATTCAGCCTTAAAAAAAAACAACAGGAATTTCTGTCATTTGCAATAACATGAACATACCTAAAGGACATTATGTTAAGTGAAATAAGCAAGCCACAAAGAGACAAATACCTTATGATCTCACTTATACATGGAATCTAAAAAAGTTCAGTTCTTAGAAGTAGAGATTAGAATGCTGGTTACCAGAGGCTGGGATGGGTGTGGACCTGGAAAGGAGAGATGTTGGTCAACAAGTACAAAGTTTCAGTCACAGAAGAGAAATAAGTTCCAGTGTTCTATTGCCCAGCACAGTGACTACAGTATAGTTAATGATAATATACTGTATATTTCAAAACAACTAAAAGAGAGGATATATATGTTCTTGCCACAAAGGAATGATAAATATTTGAGGTGACAGATATGCTAATAAGCCTGATTTGACCATTCCACAATGTACATATGTATCAAAATGTATAATACCCTATAATATATTCAATTATTTCTCAATTAAAAATAATAAATCTTTAAAAAAATCAGAACCTAACTATATGCTTGGTTATCCATGATTTTCTAAGAGTTTACAGCTTCTGAGGTGCTCCGTGTCTTCTCCAGTTTAAATATTAATAGACTTCCCTGCCCACTCAGGTTTATCATGGTAAAATAAAAGTCCCCATTTATAAACTGTGAGGCAAGTGGGCTGGAAGACTACACAGAGGACAGACTAAGAGAGTGGCTAAGAAAGGAGGTAATTCAGCCAGCATACCTTTACAGTTTTTAATTCCATGCTTTCTCCAGGCTAGTCCCTGTTTTATTCACCCCCCACAGTGACAGCTTTGAGCCTGAGAGCTCCTCCTTGTCAAGGGCTGTAAGCCTGGAGCAGCCAAGAAAAGTGAGGTGCCAGGAAGATGGGACACCAGCATGGAATTATAACCACAGCTCTAAAGACAAAGGCAAAACCCATAAACAAGGCAATTAGCACTCCTGCTCTGTGACAGAAGGTGTAGATTTGCATAATTTTTAATTATGGTTTAATGCTTTTATTTGGAAAGCAACCAATGGAAATCTGAAATCGGTCATGTGAGATAAAAGAAATATTGCCCCCCTCCAAGCCAGATTTACCAATACTTATTAGCTATTTTGGACAGAATTCTCCTTCCAGGTGTCATTAGTAAGATGAAGAAAATTCCAGCAAATCAAAAGCCTTACTGGGACATTTTATTCAAGGAAACTGGGGATCTGTTTTTTGAAGCACCAGTTATTAAGGGAATCCTAAATGTCTTTTGCAGCTCAATAAGCCTTAAAAACGGATTTGTTAACTGTTCAGAGATTGAGGTGGGTCCTATCTAAACTAATGCGAATAGACCCGGGGTCCCTCTCCAATGTCGGAGCTCAAGAACCTATGCTGAAGTTATTTTTATGCGTCAACATTCCCTACTGCCACATGGTTACTTTAAATGGATCTGTACATAAGACCAGATATCTCCAATTCCGGTTATCTCAGCAATAAATGTTATATAAACCCCAATGAGAAAAGGCATTTAAATCAACCTTGCTAATTTACTTTGAACCAATTCACTTGTTTTAGTTTTGTCATTTGCCAATCAACATTCATAATGAAGTCCTAGAATTACAAGGGGGAACTCAGGAGAGTATCTGGCTTTGCATTGATAGGTGATCAAATCATTAAGAACAGGTGATGGGTTATTTGCTTCTTGACTATCTCCAGAGACTTGACAAACATTTAAGGTGGTAACCTCCTAAAGGCAAAGAACCTGTGTGCGAACAGATTCTTCTGAACAGTTTTGCCTGTGGTAGGGTTGCAGTGATCTAAACCAAGGGTCAGGAAATCATAACCCACAGGCCAAATCCTAGCCTACCACCTGTTCTCGTAAAGCCTGTGAGCTAAGAATGCTTTTACATTTTTTAAATAGTTGGGAAAACATCAAAAGAAGACTATTTCATGACACATGAAATTTAAATGAAACTCAAATTTCAGTGTCCATAAATACAGTTTAATTGGAATGCAGCCACACCCATTCATCTACATATAGTCTGTGACTGCTTTCATGCTACAATGGCAGAGTTGAGTAGATGCAACAGAGACCACATGCCCTGCAAAGCCAAAAACATATTACTATCTGACCCTTTAAAAAAAAAAAAGAGTTTGCCAGCCTCTGATCAAGACAAGTGCAACAGTAACATAAATTAATATCAATTATAATATTAATAGTAATTTTCTTTTTAAATACACATCCCCATCTTAAAGTTTTACTTCTTCCATTTATGATCCTAAAGGAACTCATCTAAAAGTGTTAAACTAAAATAAATAAAATCCAGAAAAAGAATAATCTGTAGCCAGTTACTGTGAAGGCAAACTCCATTTTAGTTTCCAAAGAATGAGAGAGGTATTGAGATTTTTGAAAGGTTTACTCCCTTTAGGACCTATACTTTAGGACAACCTTAACTTAGGACTTGGGCCTATAAACCTGGGATAATGTTCACTACTATAAAATACATGTGAGGGCGTTTTAAGTCCTCTGAAATCTACTCTACATATCGTTGGTGTAAAAAGATAAATGCGAGCAGTACCCTGACTTTAAACTTGGCCAATGGAGTTATCTTCCCACCTCAAATCCCAGGAAATTTATTTTAATGAGGAAGAGATAAATGATCTATACATTAGCCTCCCATTAGAAATTACCATGAGCCAACGGAAGCAGCTCTATCGTTAGACATCAAATGACATTTGGCCAGATGGGTCTTGAAGACACACAGTCAATCACGACCCACCACCTGGGGACCTGGAGACCCCAGATGGTAAATGACTGCATTCGAGCAATTCTTCCACAAAACCAATTTAAACCTCCTTTTTCTTTGGAAAGAAAATAAGGACAGACATCTACACAAAAATACTATGAAATATTTTTAATCCTAGAAAGGATTTCATTACTAGTAACTAAAGAGGGGGGGAGGAAATCAACAATAATAAAATTCAGACTTTTTAATCAAGTGAACACATATCAAATTGATCAACATTGTTAAATGGCATGATATTAATTTATCCATAGAAGACATGTTCTCATCCAGCAGAAAACTGGTTTAAATACGTTTTGACAGAGTGCTAAGAGATATTATAGGTGACAGTTGACTTAATGAAGTATTTAAGGCTTTAAAACTGTGCCTTTTAGAAAAATAACAAATAACCTCTTCTTCTCCCATTTATGGGGAAAAAGGAACAACAAATGTCAATTAAAAGTCACAGAAATATGATTAATTTGTTTATGCCTTTCAACATTTCACTGAGCTTTGCAAAGGCCAGACATAAAACTAAAGTGAATTTTATAGCCAGGATTGGTCTGAATATTTTCCTCATAATATTCTTTCTGCCATGCTTCTTCTGTGCTTGGAATAAAATGACAAACCACTGGAATCCAAAGGAAAAAGTCAGCTCCTTTCCAAAGATGAGACTGAGCTGACAAAAATCCATTTAAGATCTAAAATTAGAAATAAAATAAATTCTTCAATATCAACTACATTTTCAGAGAGTTCATTAAAATTTAAGGCATTTTTGACATGTCAGAGATTTTAAGTCCAGTGACAGGAGAAGAAAGAAGCTACCTGGGAGCAAATCCCAATTATCTCCATGGCTTGGAACATACGCATTGAGCACAGCTGAAGATGAAGACAGAGGTGACAGGTGGAAATTTTCTGGCTCTGTCCAGTCTAGACAACTTTGCCAAGGCTCCTCTGAAAGGGTGCATTTCAAATGTATTTCCAATCTTCTGTTTAAATTTTGATCAAGATGAGAAAAGGCTCGTCAGCACTCTGTTAGCAGGGTAACAGTGGTAACAAGGCCAAAATAATTTCTTCTTCATAAAAAAGACTCAAGAAATAAAATGCAAAAAATAAAAAAAGGCTTATGCGAAGTGACACCCTCCCTGAATTTCACAACAAACAAGAATGGTAACCTCACTCGTATACGTTAACAGTAGAAATATATATAAAACAAACATTCATTCAATAATAACAGGATGGTCTAGTGTTTTACCCACCAGCCAAATAAACAGGATTATTCATTTTTCTTCCATTTTCCATAAAAATAAAGAAATCACCTGCAGATCAAAAGTTACAAGTCATACTTCATTGAAATGCTTGGGGAAAACCTGTCAACTAACCCTACTCATATGCCCTGCCTCTCTCAGCCAATCAAGAGTCTTTTTAAAAATCTGAATTAAGATCTATAAAGATTACTCTTTATTGGAAACAAGCCAGAGCACCTTAGATCATCAATGACCAGGAAACTCCCTTCTTTTTCAGTTCTAAAACAATTAAGGTTTACACAAAGTTAGCAAAATTAGTCAAATGCATTCAAACTTCATTCAACAAATAATATCCAAGTTGAGATAATACTAGTTACCTGTTATTGTATTCATAGGAAATATCACAATTATCTGGATTACTTTTGAATAGGACCAACACTTATTTCATAATTGCTTATGGTACAACCATATTCTTATTATGAATACAATTATATGCAATTTTCCACAATTAAATTCCTGCCTTATTGGCTTAAAAAAAAACTTTCAAGAAAGTCATAATCCTCAAAGTATTGTAGAAGAAAAATAACCATATAACCTCTAGTGCTTGACATAGGGCACATGCCCCACTGACATTTTCTGGAGACCATGAAATTACCCAATACCTTTGTACAGTTGTCTGTACTTATAGACAAGCCATCCCACTTTCTTCTTCATGATATTGCCAGCGATTTGATAAACAGACTTTCCCACTCACTTTAAATCATACTGAAGCACTACATCAACTGTTTAAAGCCATTTGACTTCTATGATAGTACCAGCTTGTTTGTATTAATGGACAATCAAGGCTGCTTCTTGCCTTTTGTTTGTTTATTTAAGGCTCCTTCGAACTTCCAGTCAAGCCCTTCTTACCAATTTCAACAACGATGGAATTTCAAAGGCGATTCTAAGTTTAGACAATTTCAGCACATGCTAACTCTTCCTAAAATATTACTGATCATTTAAGCTTCTGAAATCAAGAGAAGATAAACTTATGGAAAAAAAGAAAAATTTATTGTCTTTTGTTGCTCCCCATTTTTAATAGAAAAGCTGTTTTAAGGTCTCTCAGGAAAATAAATAATGGGAAAAATAACTATACCTTAAAATTTTTTTCAAATCTTTCCCAAAATATAAAGAAAAAACATAAATGGGATCACAACGCATATGTTAATATCTGCCCTCCAAAGCACACTTTTTTATGTAGACATTATAAAGAATAAAAGTTACCCATTAATTATATGGCATGCATCAGCAGTGCACTGGTGGGCTTAAACTTGGTTTTCAGTTATGTGTATATACAGATAAATCTCTTCCTGAGTTGAGTTTCATCTTCAGTTGAGACCCAAATCATTTGCTTTCCTTTTTTGGCAAGGTACTTGACCATGTGATAAGGCAATCGAACATTTCAACCTCCTTCCCTTTTCAGCAGCATGGCCCTCCTCAGTGAGATCACCAGCGTGACAGGTGTGAGGACCGGCCCTAAAATATGGTCCTATAAAACGAGAGCAGGTTTCTCTGTTCATCAGTCTGAAGGCTACAGCACTGTCTCTTCATATATTTGGGGATCTTGAGGACTTCAGTTGAACAGATTCAAAATGGTCTTCTTTTTCCTAAGGAAAAATATTAAAAACAAAATCAACTCACTGCAATTCTCATAAGATTTTAGGATCTTACATGTCCAGAAGGGAAGTTTTAGAAATCATCTCAATCTATGTACCTGCCACTTATGATTAGAAGTTTACATTTAAAGTTGGGTGCCAGCTATAAAACAAATAGCATGCCTACCCTTAAGGGTGCTTTTGATGTCCAAGAGATAAGACAGACAAATCCAAAATAGAAGCAAAACATGATTACAATAGATACCAAAAGATATAGTTGTGATTCCTGGGAAGAAAACACTGAGCCTCTTCCTAAGGGTACACCTGACCTGGGTGCTGAAATCAATGACCTTGCCATGCTAACTGGGGGCAAAACGGAACTGAAAGAAACTAAATATTCTCAAGACAATATAGGCTGAACAATAAGGAAAAGGACAGCAGAAATAAATAAGGAGGACACTAATAAAACATAAGATTATTTGGGATCACTGATGTGTTTTAGGAAAAGCTCTTGGATACATGCCTATTAAAGATATTAAACACATCATCTTAGATAATAGATCAAAATTTTAACTCAAATATATCATTGCTGATAATATTGTGAGTATGTCATACACTCAAAGGATACCCTGTTAAAAATAAATTCTTTTCCTTTAATGAGGGGAAAGAGAAAGTAGTAGGTGAGGTTTCTCCCAAACTTTTTATTGTTAGAGATAGTTTTCTGAAGGCCACTGGAATGGGGTAGGGAGACTATGCTACTAAAAAGAATAAAGATGAAGAGAACTGGGAGTATTTTAAAAGTAAAAGAAATAGAAGGCCAACCGGTCTTAGTACAATACAAATAGATGTTCATCTAAGGCCGAGCGTGGTGGTGGCTCATGCCTGTAATCCTAGCACTTTGGGAGGCCATGGCAGGAAGATTGTTTGTGGTCAGGAGTTTCAGACCAGCCTGAGCAAGAGTGAGACCTTGTCTCTACAAAAAATAGAAAAAATTAGCTGGCCATGGTGGCACACATCTGTACTCCCAGCTACTTGGGAGGCTAAGGCAGGGGGATCCCTTAAGCCCAGGAGTTTGAGGCTGCAGTGAGCTATGATGATGCTACTGCACTCTAGCCCAGGCGACAGCAAGACTCTGTCTCAAAAAAAAAAAAAAAAATGAGTGTCTAAAGTAGAATAGTGAAATGAGAAAATAATAGGAAGTAGACAGTGAGTAGTAGCTGTCTTAAAGGGGAAATTTGCTTTTGTGTTTGCTATCATTTGAGTGTATAAGTCCAAGAGCTTTAGAGCTACAGGGATGGAGCTATAGAAAAAAAAATCACAGCATAAACACCAATATCACTCTTTCCCTGCATTTGCTGAGATGACAAGCCCCTGGGGAGGAGACTGCAGATCTCCTCAGTGCTCTTGCTGACTTGCCTGAAGTCTCATGATTGTCAGCCTTAACAATTTTTTAGAATAACCACTGACAATTCAAATATTTATTAAGCACTCACTGTGTTTCAGGCACAGCACTAGACTTCAGGGATACAAAAGTGAGTACAACAAAATGTTTACCCTCAAGGAGCTCACAGCATATTAAAGGAAAGAATTTAAGTTGTCTGTCGTAAACTAAAAAGGAAACCTGAAATTTTTGCAGGCTTTCCTTGAGAAGATCTGACTCAACATGTTCCTGAAAGGAGGAAGGGCAGAGACCTGTTGGTTATGCTCAAGGTAATATTTAAAGTAACACACTGAAAACCCTTTAGAAAATCATCTTGAGATCACAGGGCTTTAGTCGCCATATCCTCTGCATTCACATTGGGGTTTTGCTCCTGCGTTGATACGGTGGGATATATGCATGTGTGTGTGTGTATAGTTAGGTAGGTAGTGCCACTATTGGCTGGGACTTCCTGATGGCAGGAACTATACAGCTCGTTCATTTTTGAATTCCTAAGACACATCCCATGGCCTAGCACATGGTAAGCTGTCAATCAATGGTCATGAAAATATATTGAAATACCACATTGCATTAATAGAAGGAAAAACATGGGATTGGAACTGGGGGTTGTGGCTTTCTAATCCCTATCTAAACACCCTTGGACAAATAAGTGAACCTCTCTAAGTCTGTCTATTTGTGGGTTAAATAATGCTACCACATGGGATGGTCTTTTTAAACTCCAAATTCAGGAATCTACTCAAAAGCCAACTTCTCTGAGAAGCTTCTCCATACCTTGTCACTACCTACCCTCCCATCTCCCCTGTGTTCCAAGAGACCCTACACTTCTTACCCTACTGGATGATCATGTGTGTGTGTGTGTGTGTGTGTGTGTGTGTGTGTGTGTGATGTGTCTTCCCCCAATATTCCAGATGGTATTTGACATAAGAAACTGTGTCCAGTTTGACATATCCCCAAAACCTGGTGAAGTGTCTTACAGTGTCCCATAAATAACTATGAAATAAAATTATTTAAAAATGAAAAAAATTAATTGAACATATTTTTTAAATTGCTGAGAAAAGCCAAGAAAAATAAATCCATAAATAAAACCCCACAAAGTCAGTGCAGTGCTAAGGAAATACCAAATAAGGCATGGCCTTTAGAACATGAATGAAGTTATATAAAACAAGCCCTACAGGACATGGCAGTTAATAAACTTATAAACATTTTTGCTCTGTGAAGTCATACATAACAAACTTTTTCAAAAGTAGACACACAATAAGATGTGTACAATGATATTTACAGCAGCTTTATTCATAGTCAAACACTGGAAATAGCACAGGTACCCATCATCAGAACCGATAAATTCTGGTATATCCATACAATGTACACTAGGAGTAGAATACTTCCTTTAAAAAAAACTTGTCCTATTTTTACAGACTCTTGAGACATTTTCAATGGCCTGTTTTGTATGCCACCTGGAAAACAACAGACTGTTGACATATTACAGTCACCCCTTTTGGGGATCAGAAACTCTGGAAATAAATTTTAGCTTCTGATCAAATCGTCTATGTCACTCATATATAGATGCCCAGATTAAGGACCCATCCTATGAAAAGACCAAATAGAATCAATCTTGTTGATAGAAATCACACAAGACAGACTGCCACAAATGCTTCATGGATCGTTCATCTTGCCCAACATGGCAATGTGTCTGCCATCGTAGATGGACACAAAGTAAAGGACTCTTTCTATATTTCCAATGCAGAGGTTACCACAGCATGATAGACTTGGGACTCATGCCAAAAATTGACCAGTTTTCCCCTGGAAAATTGATTACAGTCTACCTCTGGCCACTGCTTTGGGCTATCACGAGTGCCTCACCACTGTTGTCACCTGTTCAGGTTATGGTGTTGCTGTTCCAGTTTGACTAGCTAACTCTAGCCACACCATTGTGGCCCTTGAAACAAATCTGTATAAGGTTAGTGACCTTATGGACCATTTCAAACTAACAGTGGTGTACTTTTTAATCACAAAAGCCACCTAGAAATGAGCTGAGAGTAGAGGTATTCAATAGACCTTCCACACTTCCTACTGCCCAAAGGCATGTGGTATCATTGAGCATTAGAAGGGTCTTCTCAGAAAATAACTCAGAAAGATTTCTATCTCCCCCAATTTCTCCCGGTCCACACATCTTAGTAGGACAGTTTGGTCACTAATTTTATTCATACACACACCCCACATAAGGTTATCTACACTTATCTGAAAATCCAGGATTCTGCCTGACCATTCCTGGGCAGGATATGTCCTTATTTACTCCAACATTAACCCCCAGGCTACCTGGGTACTACCTCTAGTGATAGCCCAGCCAGAAGCAGGTCTAGGAGGCTCAAACATAATTCTGGCTTAACCACCCGTATTATTGTCTTGTTGATTTGTTATGATCACAGATCAAAAGGATAATGGCCACTTGTTGAATACACTGCTCACCAAGTCCCCCTACCATGGCCCACATGGACAAACGTGGGGTACACAATGGGTCTCCATGTGTTTTTTAAAATGCCTTCATCCCTCTTGTACCTGAATGTTCCAGAGGATAGATCTGGGTGCCAGTAGAAGATGAGTAGAAATAAGATGAAGTTACAGCTACTGATATGGGACAAACTGATTTTTTGGCAAAGGCATGGAGGCAACAATGCAGTTTGATAACAAGAGGAGGAGATACCTCAGACCCTGGGGGGTACAAAGGAAGGAGAAATGTTAACAATCATTTATTTTTCAGAGCCAAGTGTCACCTTCCTATGAAGAAAAATGCCCTGGCATGGCTCTCTCGAATTGTTGCAAGTGTCTTTAATTTAACTGACTGCTGGGCCTGCCATACCCATGCATGCTCTAACCACAATTTTATTGCCATTCCTCTTAAATGTGCTGAGAAATCTATCCAAAACAGAGAGGGATAGCCTCAGCCCCTGCCCCAGAAGAACACCAATCAACACTATCATTCCTATAGCCAATATTAAGTCATTTCATGAGGTAGACAAATGCCACCAGTTTGCAGTGTAGACAAACAGGAAAAGTTTAACTGATTTCCCTCAAGAAGTCTCCCCAAATACAAAGAAGAGACACAGTTCTATGAGGTGAATTGGAAACCCTAAGGTTTACTAGCCAGCAAGGAAGCCACTTAAGGCACTGTTGACCTGTGTTGTGTAAGTGATGTAGGTTCCACTTAGTGTGCCCCAAAATTGCCAGTGATTCTTTCTTTACAGAAGCACCACGTGTATGTCGAGGACTGAACTTCTTCATTAACTCGTTTCCATCCTAAAAACATGGTAGCTTGCACCTTAGGAGCAGTTATTGTATAAAAGATCTTTGATTGTTTATGGAAACATCCCCAATAGATCATGTAGCCCTTACACAACTGCAAGAACCTTTCCAAAATGAGTGAATAACTAATTTATTCACATTCATCCTATGGGTGATTATTCAATTAGAAAACATGGTATGAAATTTGTCTCTGATTTTAGCTGAAATAATTAATCAATGATACCAACTCAACCTTTGAAGGCATTCAGAACATCATCTCATCGTCTATACATTGTTACTGACAATTTAATTACCCTCTATTGCAGGCCAAGAAAAAGTGTGCAATCACTACTACATCCCATTGTATCTGGATTAATGTGCCTGGATTGTCCTGTTGGATTGCTGTGATCCTAGATCAAAAGGATAATAACCACTTGGTTGAGTATACTGCCCATTAAGTCCCTCTACCATGGCCCATGTAGACAAAAGTGGCAGACATAGTGCTCCCCCTTTATTGATGGGGGATATGTTCCAAGACCCCCAGAGGATGTCTGAAACAATGATAGTACCAAACACTATATTTACTGGTTTTTTCAATCTAGTAATCAAGATGGCTACTAAGTAACTAAGGGGTGAGAAGTTTATGCAGTTTAGACCTGCTGGACAAAGGGATGATTCATGTCTAGGGTGGGATGGAATGGAACATCATGCTACTTGGAACAGTGCACAATTTATAACTGAATGTTTATTTCCAGAATTTTCCATTTAATATTTTCAGATTGCAATTGACCAGGGGTAACTAAAACCATGGAAAATGAAATTATAAATAAGGGGAGCTTCTGTATATTGGATCTCTGTAAGTTTTTGAAAATATTCTTGTCCCTCTTCAATCTGAATATTATGGAGGAAACATCTGGATACCATGAGAAAGGTGTTAGGCTGAGTAGAAAGGATAACACAGAGACTTAAGGAGAAAGCCACCTAAACCCCAATGGTTTACAGCATTTGTTCAGCCGGTTGGGTCTGGAACCCTGTGGGTATAATTGCAGTTAATAATATAGATTGATGGATCAAATGGTAAGACTACATTTATTTCTTTGAGAAATGTCTACACTGTTTTCCATAGAGGTGGTACTAATTTGCAGTCCCACCAACCAGTGTATGAGTGTTCCTTTCTCTCTGCATCCATGCCAGCATCTATTGTGTTTTGACTTTTTAATAATGGCCATTCTAATAGTGGTAAGGTAGTACCTCATTGTGATTTTAATTTTCATTTCCCTGATGATTTAGTGATCATTTGATCCAGCAATCCCACTACTGGACATCTCCCCAAAGGAAAAGAAGTCACTTTATCAAGAAAAAAAGACACCTGCACTAAAATGTTTATCACAGTACAACTCACAATTGCAAAGATATGGAATCAACTTTAGTTTCCATCAGTTCATGAGTGGATAAAGAAAATGTTATGACTAAGTAGTACTCCATGGTACAGACATAAAAAGGAATGAAATAATATCTTCTGCAGCAACTTGGATAGAACTGGAGACCATCATCCTAAGTGAAGTATCTCAGGAATGGAGAAACAAACACCACATGTTCTCACTCATAAGTGGGAGCTAAGTGATGAGTACACACAGGCACAAAGAGATGTAAAGGACATTGGAAACCAAAAAGGTGGAGAGTAGGGGCAGGGGATAAAAACTTACATATTGGTACAATAAACACTATTCTAGTGACAGGCACACTAAAAGTCCTGACTTAAGTATTTTATAATGTATCCATGTAACAAAAACACTTGTACCCCCTTAGTATTTTGAAATTTAAAAAAATAAATAAAGGTCTGAAAAGAAAAGAAAATAATATAGGTTAACTTCATCTTGCTGCTTGGTGTCCTGCTGATAGTAGCTTTATTTAAATCCTGTATCAGGCAAACTGACCAGATTTGATCCCAGCCTCAGTCAGTCCTATTAATCAGAATGGTGGGTAGAATGGCATACTAAAGAGAAAACTCACCAGAACCCAAGATGGTATAAAAATGAGGTTTGGATATTGCTAGAGACAATTCTCCATGGTTCTCTTGCATGTCTGCACATCTTCATGAGTGAGACATTGACTTTTCTTTGTTCTAGACTATCTTTTCAAGAATCTTAGTATAGAAAACAGCCTTGGAATATAAAAATATTGTCTCTTTCCTGAGCAAAGCTAAGTCTTACTTATAGTCTTGGAAACAGTGTCTCCTGGAAATCAATGAACAGCATGCCACCTGTCCAGTAAAGATCATAGCTCTCTTTTGAGCAAAGGGTGGGCATGCTTACTATCCATTCTGAAAATTCAGGTTCCCAAAGGTTAAGGTCCCTTTCCTGTAATACAACAAGTGTTATCATTTCCTCTGCACATAGTCCTGTGGGAACACAGCCCTGTGGGTTACTTGTGGCTTTGACAGCTGGTATAAATGCTATTACTCTGGCTAGTACTTCTCTGTGAGTACTAAACTGTCCTTTGTCTCTGACCAGGAGTCTTATATTGTCTAAAGTATCCATGAAACTGTGGCAGAGTCACTTGTTAGCTTGCAAGTAGAGTAAAAATCTCAGTTCATAACCATCACTATATATTTATTATTCCATGGCAATAGTACCTTCCTTAAACTTCCATGATAATATATGAAAAAAAATCAACCAGAAGGGAAAGATGGTATATTCATTTTATTCCTAAATAATTCCTTATAGTATATTTATATGCCTAAATTAGAAGAGTAAAACCCAATGGTTAAAAAATACTCTCTATAAATGTAATCTTTTGTCACTAGTTCATCCGCTATAAATTATTTGAAAGTCATTTTCTTTCTTCTATTTTTAATCTTGAGTGGGTGAACTGGTAACTTCCCTTCTTTTAAGTCAATGGTGAAGAATGTATTTTCAAACAATATTTAAGATTTCATGTTATGTTTGGATACAGTAGTCATTCCAAAACTCCAAAGCCAACAAATGTGATAACATCTGATATAGTACCTTCTATATCTCAATATAAGTTATATAACTCAATAGAAGTTATATAACTTCTGTTTTCTCTATGTAAAACAACCTTGTTATAAAATAAAAACAAAAAATAATAGTATGGATGAATATGAGATCTTTTATTGATCTAATATTTTATTTCTTAAAATTATAAAGTATATTATCTTTGTGAAAATTCAAATATTACAAAAATGTATTACTTTCAAATACCAAATACTCTATTAATTCCCTATACACAAAAAGCAGCTACTATTAAGTTTGCTATGCAAATACTAAATAACATAAATATATATTTAATAGAATTATAATAGTATATTTGTTGTTCTCACTGTATCTTAGACCTATTAACTTATCAGTACACACAGATATCTCAATCTTTAACAGCTGTAGAATTGCACAATATTCCATTACTTTGATATAAGAAAATTTTTCATCTAACTCTTTATTCATGGTACTTAAGGTTGCTTCTACTTTGTTAACTAGCAAAAACCATGCTGCAATGAATATTCTAGTATTTACATCCTGTACTTCCAGGAGTATTTCTGCTGAATAAATACCCACTGAGATATAAACATACTGAATAACAGAGTTTGCATGAATTCTATTAGGTTAATATGGTCCCTATTATAAATGCCCAGTAATACCAGGTTAAAATTCTGCTCTCACCTTTGTTGCCAAGGATTTGAGTTTTCCTAGTAGTGACTGTTTATTGGAATATACAACTTCCTCTTCATTATCTTCTCCTTCCATGATAGCACAACTGTCTGCAGCTGGGAGTTCACACTCTTTTGAATTAGTTGTCATTACTAACTTGGAATATTTGTACTCCAGTCTAAGTGGTGGTAGATAAAATAAACAAAGAAGTAAATAGATAGATAAATGTCCATTTATTTTTATATAAATTAATTCTTATTTTAGGTGGTCATACACCAGCTCATTAAATTGTCTTGTTACTCTATTAACAAATTTCCCTCACCTAGAGCCATAGCAATCAGTGTTCTCATTTATCTACCATTTACATACAAATATTGCTCAGATGTCACAGAATCAGTTCAGTACAGTTCATTCTACCACTTACTTTATATTGACCAAATTGTCCAATTATGAAGAACTTTTGGGGGAAAAAAATAAAAACTTTGAGGTCTGAATGCATTTTCTTAATTTATCAATATTTGGAAGCCAATTCACCATCGGGTTTTCTAAAGTTTAGTTCATAAGGATAAGAATATCAAATTGGCAAGTGATTTGGTCTTTACAGTCTCTATGTCATTAATTCCTTTATACTACCACCCCAGACACTACAACTGTGCTTAGATATTACTATATAGAAACTCCACAGCCCAACTGAGATTTAAATCATTGTCAAAAATTCAAATCATGTAACAGATCAATATACATTCTGATGTTAGTCTCAATACTCAATTCCAGATTCTTGGAGACCTACAGCAAATAAATGTGATATTTGGCATTATACTTGATCTACTTCTTTGCAAATATCTGCCCCCAAGAAACTAAAAAATAAAAGGTGAAGCAAGAAGACAGCATTGTCATAAAAAGAAAAACAGACACACAGAAAATCAGTCTGGCAATCTCAGCTCTACTACCATCTACCTGAGTAACATGGAGCCTTCAGTTTTCTTTGTTTTATAATAAATGGCTCTAATTCAATGATCTCTAACCGTCTATGATCTTTTTATTATCAGAATAACAATCATTTCCTCTGATTGCATTCTCAAAGGCCTTTCCTGCAATTCTTTCATGAGGAGAAATTTCTTGTTTCCCTAAAACAATCAATCTATTTATGGGTTAAGTAAAATGGTTAAGTCTAAAATTTTCACAACAAAATAGACCCTCCAGTTCTTACACGATCATTCCAATGACAGTACTTACTTTTGATTCTTTTTCCAGAAGTAGCAAGTCAGAGCCACCAGCAAAACAGCCGTGAAAGCTCCCACACCTGCTCCCACTTTCAGCCAAAAGTCAACAGTTTCGCAGGTTGACAACTTTTTCTCAGGCAAAGAAATTCCTTTAATGCACCATTTAGGTTCATTCCATACATATAAGGTTTCCTTTTTTAAATAAATAAATAAAACCGTACAACATGAGAAACGAGGTTCAGATTCAATTGTGAAAGCTAGATTTGTTACAAGGTCAATTTCTCATCTAGAAGAAGAAAGGGTTTTGCTAACCCTTTACTCATAGTATAACAGACACAGGATTATTCACCACTCATTTAACAGAAGCTCCAAAAATAGGGGGAAAAGGAAATAGAAGTGAGTGAATAAGAAAATGATGAGTGAAAATGTGAAAATCAAAAAAAGACATGGATTGTCACATCAGAAGGGCTCAATACATGCTGAAGAGGCTGAATAAAAATCACTTCATTTGAACACATCTTTTGGGCTATATTCCTTAAATTTTGATGATCCCTGACTTCTTAGTCATGTTTTTGCATATAAGCTTAGGTTGTTTCATATGATTAGTGGGAGTGGGTTTCACCCACCTATCATGTAGGCCCATTTTCCCAACAAGCATCCACTCTGAGCAGAAGAGCAGACCCTGGACCGAGGAGATATTGGTGGCACCATGGCTGGTAGACTTGGGTGACTCGTGACTCATGTGAGGAGGGCACATGGACTGCATTCTCCTTCCCCATGCCAAAACAAGAAAGGCATTGTTTCAGGCCATCACTACCAACACCAGGTGCTCTGGTCCTCCCAAAATAGATGACTCACTCCCTTTAAGGCAATGCTTTGCAAACTGCAAGGTACAGTTATCCAGTGAATAAAAAAAAAATCAATATATTGGGTCTCAACCAGAATTGTTTTTAACAGATTAAATAAGGCATATCAAAAGAGAAAATCAGAGTATAGTACATGGTTTCTTGTATATTTCAACATATACAGTGACCAGTAGCAATTTGCATGATTATATCCATTGACATTAAATGACACAGGGCATTTACCTTGTAATGTGTCACTTTTATCAACACTCTTAACAGAAGGATAACACCATAATGTTTAATTTTATATTTTATATACATAAACATATTTTTATGGTTAGTCATGAAGTGATATGCAGGAGAATCTTATTTACTTTGAGGAAAAGTTTCAATCAAGTTTTGGATAGGAACTTTCAGCATGTTTTTTAGAAAGGATATTAGTGATTGAATTTTTTTGTTGGTACATGCCATTTGTAACATTTTCACGAAACTTAGTACAAATAAATTACTTTTAACATGGGTCACATTATTTTTATAAAAATGATGAGGTAAGAAATGCTGAGACATGTTCAAATTCAACTGCTACATCTCGAAGTATAAATAATGACAATGCAGAGAAAAATGTGAACTCTAGTTGACAAACATTGACTTCATTTGAAGAACATTCTAATAAGAAAAAATACCATGCCAGAGTTCACATGGCTTTATCAAATGTGCAACACCCAACAAAAATGGCAAGCTCTAATGTGTAATGACAGTCTTGTAAACTCAAAATTAAAACTTCAAATTTGTAAAACTTCAAAATTAAAAAGATATGTGCAAATCCAGGATACCTAACTTTTCAATAAGCTCCTCAAATACTGACAAAGAAAAAAATCAAGCTATTGGCAAAATCTCTTGGTAATTATATAACTATTAATTAGAAAGCATTATTCCCTCATTCAATCACATATCATTGGAAAACAGAAAATGGCTGACACTGCAGCTGAAAAATGTATTCTTCTAGCATGTAGGAATATTTTGTAAACAGGGTAAGATCAATTTGATGATAAATAGAAAAACATTCCTCTCAGTGATAACACAGTATCTCTTCAAATCTTTATCACTGCATGACATTCAGAAGTAATGCTTAATACACACTTAGAACCTAGTATGGATTTTGGAGATCCAATTTGATATAAGCACTTTTATCCCATGTTGTGTAGTTCTTTTTGTTTATATCAGCTATATATGGCAGGCTTGTTGTATTGTGTCAATTTAACTTCATATGCATCTGTAGTAGATATATTTATAGAATTTGGGAAGTGCATGGTCAGTCAATATAAAGTGAAAAATTTTAAAGGGTGGTACAGAAAAATAGTGCTGAAACACTGTGGGATGATTTAAAATTTTTAGAATACCATTGCAATATTTTATAATAACTATTTTTTCCTATCAGGAAGCTTTGGCATCCAAAAATATCCACATTTGTTCATTGATATAATGGAAAACACAGAAAAAGTTATTTGTATATGAAACTCTTTTGAAATATTTTATTCGGAGACTGTAGGTGGCCATCCCCACTTACTACATGGTAGTAAGCTCTACCAAAGCACACCCCTTTGCAGTTGCAGTGGAATATGCTAAGTAGGTAAATGAACTCAGGAATGACATTCATATATTTCTACTTGAAGCTCAATATCCTTTGGCAAACATTTTCAAAATTGATATCTAAGTATAACAGGAGGATATATTTAACTGATTCTGGTATTTCTCAAATTAAATTTATAATTGTAGGGGTGGAACTATAAATTCCAACATGTCAAGCACATCGAAGTAATCCAAAAGATATTATTCTTAAAGGCAAAAGCAAATACTTAAGAAGAATCACATAGCAACTACCTATTTGCAATATTCTTATAATAAGTTGAAGAGAACCTTATCAATTAAGACAGCTGACTGAAATAAAATTAGAGAAATTGTTGCAACCTCAGTGTCTTCAACATCTCATCATTACCTTCCAGAAGAGAAATATTGAGTATTAAAGAACGTTTGGATAAAAGATCATGAAGCTTTCAAAACCTTTGAGTTCAATTTGGTGTCCAAAGAAGGGGATCTGGCTTAGTTTTTCATTTATTTTAACCAACAATTATATGATAAATCATAATTTTAGAATAAAGAAAAACAATTTCAATTTCTGAAGCAGAAAAAGTATCATTGTTATTATGAAGATTAACAAGAAACCATTTTTGTGAGCCTGGAATTTTCATCCTTGACCCACTTAAAAATGTTAACAAGAAACTGTCTCAACAGTTCACTGAGTAAGTGGTACCATTCCTGGGTGATCTGAACTGGAATAAGCCATCTCCAGGTAAGCACATTTGACATATTAAATAACACATTTCCTAAGTTTTATTTTAGTCTTGTCTATTTGGGGATTTTTCCTGTTTTGTATTAAATGATTAAAAAGAATATGCTTTATATTAACCTGATGTTAGTACTTCATCATAAAATATGAAAAAAAGTATTGTTCCATGGAACTGCATTTCACCCTTAGTCATATCTCTGAGTGTCTAATTTGTGTCAGTGTACTAAGTTGAAGGTACAATAATATATTTCTGACTATAAGTTCACTGTCATTAAAATTTGAAAAACACCCACTTAGAAAATAGTTCTCTATATTTGTTTCCTAGGGGTAAGTTGAACACAACTGCTGACAAATACTCTGAATGCACGGGACTGGGTGGAACCATTCTGATTCCAACCCTCTCACATTCCTGCCCTCCAAACCTGCTAACTACATGTTCTTCAAGACTTTCCTGGGCAAAAAAGCTCCCTCTCTCTGATCTCCTTAGTCAGTGGGTGTTCTAGTGTGTTCCCCTCTCCATGCTGACCTGCAGATCAGTCCTATCCCATCTACCTTCTAGCTTGCAGACATCCCATCTAAATTTCTGTTCCTCTGAGGCCCACTTTCCACTAGGGTTTACAGCACTGGTTTTGATTTACTTTCCCCTGAACTTTCATACTGTCATTTCAATGGAACTTGGGGATTGTGAGGTGGGATGCAAGTAGTCTTGAAGGAGATTAAATTGGGTTAAACTTCTTACTGGTAATAAACTCTAAGGAAATAATCAAATTTCTAACAAAGATGTTCTTTACAAAGTTATTTACAAAAAGATTGTTTTCCATTTTTTCTTGAGTGTCTAAAAGGAAAGTTATTAAATCCAAAATTATATAAATAATAGAATATTTGTCAATAAAAAAAATCATGTTTTAAAAAATTTAACAAGAAGGGAAATTTTTAATGATATATTAAATATAAAAAGGAATCAAAAATATATAGGGTAGAACCCCAACCTAATTTAAGAAAACAAGCAGCAAATAAGCAAACAAATGATTTCCAAGAAAATATGGAGAATAGAATCTTGATTTTATATGTATATGCTTTAGTTTTTTGACATGCTTCATGTGGTGACTCACTTATACCATCCTCATCTTAATTATTCCTACCTGCATTATATAAACTATATCTTAGTTTAATGATATCATCTCTTTATCAGCCAAGTAAATATCCTTTGGCCTATGTCTCCTTTGCCATGATTGATGTTCCTCAAGTCCAGTGTATCTGCAGGTATCCCAGCATTTGGGAGTTTAGCCACCAAACTTCATTTTAAATATATATTAATGTCACATTAAGTCAACTATAAGCATTAGCCATACTTCTGAACTTAAATTTCTATGATATGATGCCACATTAACCAACTATATCTTCAACGACACAGTTCTGCTCAGATGGATTTGGTCCTTACCTGAAATCCTCTCTTGCAGGCTCCCTCAATCTCGTGGAAGTCATGCTCCGTGCACAGGGGGCAAGCTTCAGCACTCTCCCACAGGAAATAGAATGCACACCCATCACAAGTGCCTGCTGGGCACTTGCTGAAACAAAAAACAAACAAAACCCCACAAAAATGACAGCTTCTGTAACACATTCAAGCCAATCAACATTTGGGTTCCTATGGCATTCTGGGAAGCATTGTATGGATGCTGAGGAAACCCATGTGGGAAAAAATCTAAAAGACACAAAACCACAATGAGATAATATTTTGCACTTATTTGAGTACCTAGTATTAAAAAAACAGATAATAACAAATGTTGTGAGGATGTGGAGAAATTGGAATGCTCATATACTGCTAATAAGACTGTAAAATTGTACAGCTGCTTTGGAACACTACCTTAGACAATTAAATATAGAATTACCATATAATCCAGCAGGTCCACTCCTAGGTGTAAAAACATATGTCCACACAAATACTTGCAAATGAATGCAGAGTGGCATGAATCATAATAACCAAAAGGTGGGAACAACCTAAATGTTTACGAACAGATGAATGGATGAACAAAATGTAGTATATCTGTACAATGCAGTATTATTCCACCATAGAAAGAAATATAGTACCAATACATGCCACAACTTGGATGAACCTTAAAAATATTATGCCAAGTGAAAGAAACAAGTCACAAAATTCAACATATTATGCTATTCTTATGAAAGTCCAGAATAGGGAAATCTGTACAGACAGAGAGTGAACTGACAGTTGCTTAGGGCTGAGAAAGGAGCTAGGGCACACGGAGGTGATAACTAAAGGGTATGAGGCTTCTTTTTGAGGTGATAAGAATGTTCTAAAATTGACTATGATGGTGGTTGCACATTTCTGGTTGCACAATATACTAAAAACTACTTAATTGTATTCTTTACATGGATAAATTGTATGGAGTGTGGATTATATTTCTATAAAGCTGTTTGTAAAATTTTTTAAAAGAGACGAACAGATAATGATAAATAGCTCTGGAAAGGCTTCTGGGTGGAAATCATGTCTAAGCTGAGTCTTGAATATTCAATAGGAGTTAACCAGAATATAAGTGAAGAAAGCAAAGGAATTCCTGCCAGAGGGATGAGATGGTATGATGAATCAGTAAGAGATTACACGTAGGTCATTGTTACTGGAGCTTCAGGAGCAAGGCAGTGAGTGCTGGACATACAGGCAGGAAAGGCCTCATATGTTAAGAAAGTTGCCATTTCTGTCTAAGGTAACGTACTTAGGCAAGGTGCTTCAGGGTTGCAGTCCCCAACCCCCTGTCTGCAGGCTACCAGGAACCAAGCCACACAGCAGGAGGCAGCAGTGAGTAAGTGAAGCCCCACCTGCACCCACAGCCACTCCCCATCGCCCTAGCCCTAGCCCCGATCCCACCGTCAGATCAGCCGTGGCATCAGACCATTGTAGGAGTGCAAACCCCACTGCAAACTGCACATGCAAAGGATTCGGGTTGTGCGCTCCCCAAGAGAATCCAACGCCTGATGATCTGAGATGCCAACCAACCATTTGGTCAACACACAACTCAGTGATATAAATGATTTCACACTCCTGGGTTTCCTTGGCCTAATGATGATTTCAAGAGGTGGTTACCTTCACCACTCTGCAGATGATGGATGGGGCTTACAAACAGGGACAGAATCGCACTGAACCAACCACAAGGCAGGACCTGGATGGAGATTTTTTGAAATTCTGCTTTTTGAGAGGTGGACCCATTACATCAACTTGCCTCTTTCATTTTAGGAACAGAAAAACACAGCATGGCTGAAAAATGAACCTGCTGCTACTGTGTATAGAATCCTTACTGATAAAAGCCAGAAGCTATTTGGAAAGGTTCTAGAGAGCATGGCTGTTCTGTTCATGAATTCATTAAAACTAGGGGAATACTGTTCTCTTAATTTGTCTGCTATACTTTAAGCTGCCTTAAGTCAAACCATATAAATATAAGATTTTCCTGAAAACCTCCTTCAGACCTCAGCTGGTGCTGAGGACAGGTGTCCTGAAACTCTAACAGCAAAAGGACACAAAATAATGAGAATCAAAAAAGGACTGCTCTTTAACTTCAAATGCCTTTCTAATGATTCATGCTACAAAATTATAATTTTCAGTCTACCAGCAAAGTAAAATTTCATACTCTTAGTTAACTAAATATAGTCTAAGAAACTCTACAATATGAACACTAAAAAAAACAAATCTATGTGTCTAAAAATTAACTGCATTTTTGCATACCTATTTTTCCAAAGTGTCTGTGTGCTGTAGACTAAGCAGACATGGTGGGATGTGAAGAAAAGCAATGTTCTTTATAACATATTGTAACGGAGTCTCAGTGTTACTTATCAGGGCTAAGAACAATGGTGAATACTGATTTTTAGAAAAATAGCTTCACTCTTATCTGCCTTAATTTCACTGTTTGTAAAAAGGGAGTAATGAATATATTCAGACTAAGAAACAAAGATTTAAAAAGGTAAGTAGGATAAATGGAAATCATTCCACATAAAGTTTTATCCCTACTTTCCACCTTCTATATCAATGAAGGCAATTCAAAATTGTTTTTTTAAAAATTGAGTATCAATAAGAAAAATTCCTAGCACTCTGAGAGGCTGAGGTGGGCGAATCATTCAAGGTCAGGAGTTCAAAACCAGCCTGAGCAAGAGCGAGACCCCATCTCTACTAAAAATAGAAACAAATTAATTGGCCAACTGAAAATATATAGAAAAAATTAGCCAGGCATGGTGGCGCATGCCTGTAGTCCCAGCTACTCAGGAGGTTGAGGCAGAAGGATTGCTTGAGCCCAGGAGTTTGAGGTTGCTGTGAGCTAGGCTGATGCCACGGCACTCTAGCTGGGCAACAGGGTGAGACTCCTTCTCAAAAAATAAAATAAAAATGAGAAAAATTCTTCAAGAATACTAGTTTTTGCATAACAATGATGATGTGCTACTTTAAAAATAATTATGTGTATCCAATCATTTAGCAAAAACTACCAATATGCTCTCCATTTCAAATCTCTATTCCCCAAATTATTTTCTTCTTTATCTTTCTAACACAGAGAAGTTATTTGGAGGAAGGGGTGGGAACGAAAGTACTTATCATGGGAAAATAGAAAAGTCTGTTAAAGTATGAGAAAAAAAGAACTCAAAAAATGAAAAAAACCAAAAAAGAAAATTAATGAAAGTTGCAAAAACTTCTAAAGAGAAGACTTGGGTTCCAATTCTAACTGGACTTTCAAATGGTTGTGTGTTTTCCCACAAATGACTCAACTCTGCCTTTCCCCTGCCTCATTTTTATAATTTGTCAAAATCGAATGTCTGCTATACTGCCTTCCCAGGTTGGTTATAATAGATGAAATGACAGAACAATTTTGAAAAGTTCAAAGCACTGCAAAAACATAAAAGACTACTAGCAATGCACATCACCTTCTAAAGAACTGATAGAACCATTGAAACTGCAACAACAACAGAAAAAATCAAGAAACTTATGTAATTTATAAAGCTGCCATTAGGTGTCAAAACAGTACAAGGATTCAGTACCTTAGTAGACTTCACTTTTTAAAAGATACTCTTAAGTTAATAGTAGTTTAATTTAGAATCAATTCTTTAATTCTTTTAACCCAATGAGTCATTTAAAATGCAGAATATCCAAATTTAATCTTTTGTTATAAACCTCAGTTTCACAGTTTAAATCAGGCCTTCCCTGTGAAATGACAAGGATGTATGAGGCAATAATAATTTCAATAGTGCTCCTTTATAGAATGAAAATAGGAAAAAAAGTACAAGAGAAAAAATTACTTTCTTCTACCAAGAACAAAAAGCAAACAGTAAAATAAATGCTTTATTGCCAAATATTTGAAATACTTTTTCCTTTGATTACCTGCACTACCACCAACTCCTCCCACCTCCTCCCAGCTCTTCAAAGATAGAATGCAGAGGTGCCACTAACAGTGCTTCTTTTGTAACTTTGGATTTATGTGATCACCAGAGAAACCAGTGAGTAAACATCTAAAGAGATGGTACATGGTCATGAATGGCTGGGGCAGGCAAGGCTAGGATTCTCCAAGATTGCTAGATGTGCTGTGAGTTCTAGGCAGATAAAAGACCGATTCAAAGGACAAGCAGGTGGACCTTGATTTGGTTTTACTGGTAAATGAGGCATAGACTTCCCAGTTTCTTTACTTTACTTTTGGGATTACCTTATGAATCTGGCAATGTGTAAGAGGGTACTGGCAATGTGTAAGAATTCAGATTAAGCTTTTTGTAGGAAGTTACTTCCTAGATTCTAAAATGGGATACATTTCCTGGAGTATAACTGGACAGAACTATTGGTGTCATTTTTTAAATAAATCGACTTTCCTAAAGCAGGATCTACTAGGTTCATATCATGAATTCATGGAGAAGAATATTTTCTTATGAACTATTATGACCTAATACTCAACCTATTATTAACTGTTTGCATCCTTCTTACTTCAGTATAAATTTATTATATGCCAAAACTTCATTTGAAATACAAAAGTTAAAACAAACTTATCTACATTGTTGATATGTTTCTGACCCTTCTGGATTTTGTGTCAGGAGACTGGGGGTAAAGACCATGGCCTTGTGTGCCTAGAATATTTGTCAGTTGAGTTATCCTTTGGGATAAACTATTCTTGCTGAATTTCTTTCATATAGGGCTTTGGAGTGTTTCTTGGAGCTCTCCAAGGTAGGGCATTCAGACTGGCACTGGTGATGCTGTCTCTAACCTGCTGCTCGTGATTCCTCTCAGCTTTGGCATCTCAGAAAACTCAGCCTTTCTCTGTTGAGGATGTCTTGTCCCCCCTTGTGTGTGGTCCACAAAACACTACTGCATCTTGCCCCAATTTTGTTAGCATATAAATTGCTTATAAGTATGTCTTAGTCCATTCAGGCTTCTATAACAAAATATATTAACATAGGTAGCTTACAAACAACAGAAATGTAGTTCTTACAATTCTAGAGGCTGGGAAATCCAAGGTCAAGATGTCAAGAGATTCAATGTCTGGCGAGGACTTGCTCTCTGCTTCAAAGATACCACTCTCTTGCTGCATGCTCA